TATATATATCTCTCTCTCTCTCTCTTCATCTCTCTCTCTCTCTCTCTCGCTCTCTCTCTCTCTCTCTCTCTCTCTCTCCATCTCTCTCTCGTGTGTCTCTCGTGTATTGGCATTCAATGCAAATTAAAGGAAGAATTAAACAACTTTGCATTCAATCATTTTATTAGCAATTGCGAAGAAGCCAGCGAAAAGTTGATCGTATATCGGTGTTACCAAATCCGAATTGAAAAGAAGTTAAAACTATAACAAATGTAATATATCCATCAACTAAAAGCTGAAAATATGATTAATATAATCAGTACATGTCTATATGTTGACCATAATATAATGACAGACAATCTATTCTGATAACGACATGGTTTGTCTTTGTTTGTTTGTTGTTTAACGCCGCACTCAGCAATATTCCAGCTATATGACGGCGGTCTGTAAGCAATCGAGTCCGGACGAGGTATTGCATTCATGCCTGACAATGCAGACATCATGAGTATCGACTTACGCAATTGGAATACGATGACATGCATCAGCGTCAGCGAGCCTGACCACCCGATCCCTTTAGTCGCCTCTTACGACAAGCATGACCAAGTCCACCAAGGATTTGCATGGGTGACACGGTTTGTAATGACATAACGCATTGTGTATCAGTGAGCATGTAACCCTGTCTTTCGTACAATGAATGAAATTATGAAGATAAGAATGTCAAACATAAGGATGTTTAGGATTAAATAATTGTTTCAAATTAGCGGGTATTATTGAAGATTTGAAACCTCGGAGACCATTTGAAACCAGTACCTTAAATATCAAATATGTGAGGTACATACTATTCACACGGAATAGGTTAGGTTAGACCAGAAACATGCGTGGATGTTTGACATGTGTTGAATATAACATGAAAGACTCAATGTCAGGTTTAACAAACAAATAGAAGTGCCAGCTGAACTCTGCCAGTAGTATTCAGATGTCGCGTGAAGACCTAACAGAAGAACCGAGTGTGGGTTTCAAAAAGTGATTGCTACACTATTAACAAATTGATTACTTAGGTGAACTTAAGGAAACTTTTGTCCAAAGTGCTAATAATATTTGAGAAGGCTATTTCACTTAAAGTTTGAATAAAAGTGACAAAAACATTTCTATAATCATGATAAATCTCTACATGATAAATGTCACAGTTCATTGTACTATTCCGACAATACCATAAGCATGTGTTTATGAATCACTACTAAATAGTAAACATATCAGGTGTTTGCGAAAATGTGAGCGTCTCCGGTCTCACCGTTGGCACCATCACTAACACATGAAATAAGCAAAATTGATGTCTGTATGTTCTAATGTTTTGAACAAAACATCTTCTCACCAAGAAGTGGCTTTTATGGTCAGTTTGGCAAGATTTGCTTTATTTGTTCCTTAACCATCACCTTGGTAGACATCCCATCCATTCACACACATAGCGGGAGAATTTCTGTCTTGATATGGTCATTACAGCTTCAAACATCGATACAATCATTAGCAGGGTTCCATGAAAGAGCAAATGAATATTGTTCGACGCTTCAGAGAGCAGTATTCCAGCAATAACGCAGCGACCTGTGAATGAATGAGTCCAGACCAGAAACCGATGGATGAAGGTATGAGCAACGATTCACGCCATCGAAGCTCGACGAGAAGCAATGAGCTAAATCACCGAACCTGACAACGCGAATCTCACTATTCGGTTTCTATTTTCATCTGTGACGCTAATAAATAAAATTTATACACGTGAATGTATGTTAATATTCAACGCCTTCAATTTGTGAACAAACTGCTGCACATAGGAAGGAATTGTTTGTTCTGATATTCGTAAACCAGACTTTGGGATTCATTTAAAGGGAATGTGCCTTATTTTTGTGATTAAGGATGCGATTCCAACTATTTTGAAGTTAGACAGTTGTATGTTGATTTAAAGTTGACAACTTACATATTATTACAACTTGTTTACAGTACGTCAAAAGACGCCGCGTATTTGTACATGTATGTTTTTGGTCACTGTTGCAGTAGTTTATACAACAACAAATATACAAAAAATATATTACCTTAAAATGAAAATAGATCGAAAGTAGAAATTTCAACTAAGCTACAACTTTTAGCGAAATTTGGGTGCCATTGATTGTGCTTCCGATTATCAGGCTGTGATGTGATGACAAACTGGAGTCCATCCCTACGCACTCACTCACTCACTCACTCATTATATTAAAGATTTAGTCTTGCTCAAAAAGATAATTATTCAATGGAAATATTACATCAGGCCTTACACCTTTTGCTTATTTTACAGATCCGCCGACCTTAAAAATCGAACATTCAGAAAGGAAATTCAATCAGAATGGCAAGGGTTTTTAATACCGCCGACGGTCAACATCAGGATTTTATATGACAAAAACGAAACAAAATCCAAAGGATTTATCACCTTACCGATCTGAATTAAACTTTAAGGTGATAAATACAATCAAGTTCAGAGCATTTTATTATATATATTTTCTGACGTTCCGACCAAAGCGTTCACTTTAAAACGCCGCTAAGATAAAACAAATAAATGAAATGTCTGGCCTTAAAACACATTGTGACACACTCTTTAAAACAGAAGTATTTTCACGGAATCCTTTTGAAATGATATGGAATACATTAATATGTCTTGCAATAAAAAGCCACAAAAGACATATCAATAATCATAGGAAACCTATATTAAAAGCAGTCTGTTGTACGATATCTACCGGTTCATAAGCATGTCTTTATGAATCACTTTTATTCGCGAAAAGGGGAACGTAACACATCATCAATAGTACATAGTATGTAACAGGTGAAAATGCTATATATGAAATTCAGCTAAAAGCAAGTTGTGCCCTTATTGACCAGAATGTTAAGGAGAACACACTATCGCAATTAAGAAACAATGAAACTGGTCTCTAACTCATCCCTACTTCCTTCCCACATTTAGATCTTAGACTTTGACAAAACATTCTTTTATGGAAAATATCTGAAAAATATACTAGAACTCTTTCTTTACTGCATGTCGTTTTTACGTGATGCACGTGAAATGTGTTCTCTGGGGTTGTTGTTCATCAAACTCAGTTGCTAGGTAACTGTTACAATGTACGGTACCATTCGTCACCACTCGCCCCTTTCCGTAACCTACAAGAAGTCGCTATTCGGCTTGTCCCGGAATAACACGAGTTGGTCACGAATGTGCAAGGTACAAGGCTCTTTTCGTGGGGTTCTTTACGGAGTATTTTATCGCTTGCACTTTTCGAAAACATATTGAAGGGGAGTGCAGGAAATATAGAGCCCTGAACAAGGATACGTTTATCTGTGTCTTAGTTTCTCATCAAAGATTTGTTAAATACTTTAACAAAAACATTTTCTAAGCTATAAGGAAATATACATTTATTTCAAAACAATGCTTATTTCACTCCTATTGAACAAGAACAACGATCCCAATCGCGGCTCATTTTTTTTACGATCATCCTAAAATGTCAGGTAAAATATTTTCTTTCCAAGACATTTTCAGTTGGATTTAGTTCTGTCTAACCATCATGCACACGAGTGAGTGAGTTGGGTTTGAAGCCGCTTTTAACAGTATTCCAGTTATATCACGGCGTGTCAGCTTAATGCGGGAAGACAGCCCGAAGTGATGCAGGTCTCAGACGTTTAACATTTCGGTGAAACCCACGAGCACGGGTATGGTGCTGACAACCTAGAAACAAAATCGGGGCGAACCGGGATTCGAACCCACAATCATAGGTTTCTGGCGTGCCCAAGGGACGCAACTCTGTACAGCGAATCATGCACACGAAAGAAAAATATCACACGTATACTATAAACAAAGATATACAATAAGGCCAATTTGACAGTGGCAGCGATGATTATATCGTTATAACTTTGGGAAGAATACTAGATAACCGTTCAAAATAGCCATGGTAATGCTATAACAGAAATTCTGCTGCGTTAGCAAATGATGTCGCAACAAACTGACTTTTTTCCTTTGCAGACTTTTGTTTCAAAATGATAATGAATAGACCCGTTTGTGTTCGGAAAGAAGTTTGAAAACTGTGTGAGCAATGTACAGTTTGAAATATCTAGATGTCATTAACGTACACAGGACTGTTAGCACAGAGACCGGATTTCCGGAATCCCCCAAGCTCGGTCGCGATCGACAACTGTTGGTTTCCTGGGCAAGTGCCTATTTGTATAACCGACAGTTTGTTTGGGATCGAACAGACATGGGTCAGTAATAAGGTTTGTTCTGTAGTTACGGTCAATCACCGACACAACGTCGAGTGAGTGAATGTGTGAGTGAGTTTGGTATAAAGCCGCTTTGAACAGTATTGCAGTAATGTCACGGCGTGTCAGATTACTGTCAGTGGAAAGCCCGAAGTGATGCAGGTTTTAGACGTTTACAACTTTGTTGAAATCCACATGCATGTGAATGGTGCTGACAAACCAAGAAACATAACCGACATTCGAAACCAACAATTATAGATTTTTGGCGTGTCCAAGGGACCCAACTCTACACACTCTGAATTGCGGCGCCATTCGTCACCACTCGCCCCTTTCCGTAACCTGCAAGAAGACTCGTCCCCCTATCGATGACATTCGTCACCACTCGCCCCTTTCCGTAACCTGCAAGAAGACTCGTCCCCCTATCGATGACATTCGTCACCACTCGCCCCTTTCCGTAACCTGCAAGAAGACTCGTCCTCCTATCGATGAATGCTATGTGCGAAAATACGACAAACCAATCAGAATGCGCGCATGATTTCAAGTTCTTCGTCAAAGAAACCCTCAGAATTATTTTTGGATTTTACATCTAAAAATATACCAAAGACAAAGTTAAATGTGTTCAATCATACTGTATAATTCCGCACGTACCGATGTGGATTAAATTGCATCTGAAATATATATAATATATGGGGAAATGTAAGTGAACCATTACGCAACGAGTTGACAATTGTTTTAGGTATGCCCGTTTGCGCTAAGACGAAACCCGGTCGCAAAAATGGCCATCAGTGGGGCACGAGTCGCTATTCGGCCTGTCCCGGAATAACACGAGTTGGTCACGAATGTTGCGGCGCCTTAGACGAATTGGCCACCCATTCCCCAAGAGCATTGTTATATTCTATAATTCCATTCGGTTAGACCTCTAACAGTACATCGTGTAAACATTAATTCATATGCAGTGTAGAAATATCCGTATCCAACGCGTGTGAGATCGAATTGCAGGTCTGTGATTGGCTACTCCATGGGTGTGACCTGAGGTCAGATTATGACGGACTACTTTCCTGTTTGTAAGTCATTGATTAGTGGATCCTGCTATAGACGAATTCACGTCTGTGGTGGAACTTTGTGGTTTAAGAGATCGCATCTAGTGTGTATTAACATCATCGCTTGTTAGTCCACGTGTATGGTTGACACCTTTTGGGGGAGGGTCAAAATAGGTTTGAGTTGTAAGCAGTAAGTTGGATGACTCATCACCGTTGTGTAATGTGTTAATGAACCACTACGACCATCAGAATAGAGAAAAATATATCGATTAGACACTAAAATGGTGCGATTTCACAGTGTGTAAGAAATAGATTACTGCACGCGCGACTATCACCACATATCTTACAGTCTTATCCTGACTGTTTTCTGCAAATTTCCCATTTCACGACCTACGTATCTACCAACGAGCTCGGTTTGTATTCTCCCCAGGGATTTCGGAATATAATTGGACTGCATACTGACCCACTGATCTTGGAAATACTTGTCATGCGGTTTCATCACATAAACTTCAAAATGTCAACAGTTTCAGGGCGACATTGTTTTATTTGACCAGGCAGAAAGAAATCGGGCGGTAATTGAGAAACATTAAGAACAAATAGCTCTCTAAACCCACGTAATTGACGTGACGGACAAATAATAATGCATCCATGCTAACGTTCCCTTTAAAGTTTTTTTTTTTTTAAATATACTGTTAGTAATATATTATTATAAGTTTTTTTCGAAGTGATCGTTCTGATGATATTATGCAGAAAATGTCATTACAGCGGTATTCGTGTCATGCCCTACTCAACCCACGGAAAATACAAGGGCACACATTTTCTTCGATTAACTACACTTAGACACGAAATGTATTGGAAATAATTTTTTTCATTCCAACTGAATCGATTGACACATTTTTTCTGAAATTTCTGTATGCAACAATGGAGTCTGAAATAGAAATTTCATCACAGTAAAAAACTCTTTCCAAAGATGTCTAGAATATGGAAAAACGCTCATTTCAAAGATTCTTTATGTGGATTGACCCCTCAATTTCCAACATATCGAATGACGTCCTTCAAAAGACGTTTTTCCAAATGTTCCTTGCGTTAGATTGAATTTGAATACTGGTATATAGACTTATATATAATCTGGGATAAGATATGATGTCTGTATATAAAAATGAAACGCCGGTATTGTTGTTGTGAAATACGTAATCCCAGTTGGAAATATGAAAGTTTTGGAATGAAAACGTGTATAGCTATAGTTTATGAATTAATAATGTCTATTTACACGTTCTATTTACATATGAATACATACATGTGTCGATACGTTTATATGGCACATTCAAGAAGCACATGAGTAACCTTCAAATAATTCAACATAAGCACGAAACTTATACACGTTTTATGGAATGGTTATTTCTGATTTTATGTAAACTACGTCTCCTCCCATGGTGGAACTTACATAAATACTCTTTCAATGAATTATTTATCCCCGATAAGCAAGTGTATTAGATATATCTTTATTCTATTATATATCATAAACCCACTCACCACTGTACTTCGTTTTGAGCCGGATTCGAACGAAACGACAAGAAAAAAAGCACTCCAATCAAAGTACGCCATAAGCGAGAGACAGAGAGAGAGTTGGAATGATTGAGGCAATGACGTCACTTCCGAACCGAAGTTATAGTTGTGAGTGGGTCGAGGGTTTTATCATAAAGCGAATAGAGATATAACGCACAAGGTTATTGAGGATGTGAATTCGTCGCATTCATACAGGTCAATTACATGTTTGAAGAATCTTTGCTAGACAACATTTAAAAATAAACAGCAATAAATCTCTTAAAATTTAACGTTGTCCTGAACCTCACACAGGAGTCGCCATAACAAAGTGCCCTTACAGTTATGGTAAGGGAACGGTATTACTCAATGGCACCTACACTTTGCAATGACAATCTTTCTCTCAAAATATCCACTCAGCGCAATTGTCTTTAAGTGATAGAATAATATCTACCAATTACAACATTACCTCGTCAATGTTCAGTCTGACGCGGGATGTTCTTTTTGACTTTAACTTTCCTGTGAGAAGTCACAACATGTTTTCGGCTTCCTCTTCCATTCCACGCGAACTCTCGCTGGGTCTCTTTCCACGGCAGCCATTTTGTTTTCCGCCATTACACGTGCTCATTTGAAGGCTCTGGTTATAGTTGCTGGTGGAGCGAGCTGGTGAACCCACAAATGACGTCTTCGTGTACCTCGTAACGATACTTCGACTCTCCTGGTAGTTGCTGAGCTTTTTACGAATGGCTGCTCGTACCTGCGTGGAAAAAGAGATTTACTTGACCAGTTAGTCTTGTTTGAGTGAGTGGGTGAATGACCTTTGGTTAACGAAGCAGTCAGCAATATTCCAGCTGTATCACTGCGGCCTGCGGTTCGGCACACACATTTGAACTATCCGATTCGCATATTCGACGGGTTCTGAGAGAAACAGGTGAAGCCAATACCTATTTTGATCAGGAGGTATTTGCTATAGAAACTGGAACACAATTGTACTTTCTTTACAATTAAAGGTTCCGTAAAGGTTGAATGATTTTCTGATCTCCCCCGTGGTGTAGTGAATAGAGTTGAGTGAGAGTGAGTGAGTAAGGTTTTACGCTGCTTTTAGCAATATTCCAGCAATATCACGGCGGGGGGACACCAGAAATGGGCTTCACACATTGTACCCAGAATAGAGTTGAAGTCCGGAGGGCTGAAGGTCAGTAGTTGGATCATCTGACCGCGTCATACCAAGAGCATGTTAAAAGTTTCTTTGTGTCGGATCTTCTACACCAAATTGTATGGTTTATGGTGAATGTGGTAGATACCCATTATATATTAACTCTCAGATTAGATGTTTAAAATACTGGTTTAAAATCCTTCATATGCATGAACAACCTCTCCCTAAATTAGCTTATAACATGCTTCTACATTTAAATAACATGCGAAAGAATACTTGTACATCGCAAGTAAGAAATCTTTTATTTTCGCATGGTTTGGGTTTTATATGGCTATGTCAGTCCGTTGGAAATGTAAATATGTTTCTTAATGAATTTCTTTTTGTGTTTGACTGTCCATTTTTACAATGATCTTCGAAGAAATATATAAAAGATTATTTAATAGCAATGTCATGGATAAACGCCTTTGTAGTTAGTGTGACGACAAAGAACGAATCTAATATATTAAATTTGTCTCTATATATTAAGCATTCATTAGCCAAAAGAAGTGAATTAATCAAAGAACGTGTATATCCAAATGTGTAACATTTATGACTGTATCTACATGCGTAATTCTCTATTGTATATGGGCCGGAGGCCTTTTGTACAATAAACTTCTTTTGACTTTGACGTTAAAATATTGCTCACTACTCCTCTGTCTGGCGCTCGGTCTTAAAGATATAAAACAAGGATTGGACTCGGATCGGAGGCAATAGACTGTCTGAGTGGGGTATCCATGTTGTATTTAGGTATGGTATCTCAGTGGACTAGCACTATAAAACAGTCAGTACACTTGCATTCATGCCGCTTTATGAGTGACATAAATTTGAACGCGACGTAAACCCCATCTGACCCCACCTCTAATAATTTCGCGATGAAACTAGGCATAATGTCTACAAACAATGACACCAAGGTGTTGCAGAACGTGTATAAAAAGTGTATAGATATTTCAAAGAAAAAATGCCCTCAAATATAAACAATAATCAGCTGTATTTGAAGGATGCCCAGTTAGCTGTGCTCCTTTTTCGTGCCAGAAGTTTATGATCTGGGTTCACGCATGTTATGATCCTTGGTTTGACTGCATGATACCCATGTTCATAGCTTCCATCAACCCACTCACTCACCAAAGTGGTAAACGTGCAAAAACTTCATCATTTCTAGATTGTCTGCCGCATGACACGCCGTAATATAGATAAAATACTGCTGAACCAAAATTCGGCATTAAACCAAATTCTTTTGACAAAACGCTCTGTACAAGACTGTATTATAAGAGAGATGACTTTAACTTTCCAAAAGCCAACTTTTCCTTTATGTCGAGTAATACTCCAGCATCTCCAACCTTGGTATCTACATTTGAGGTTCACTCGAACAGGAATTGACTTGCCTTCGCATGTGTTTCAAAAACGTTTATGGTGGAAATGTGGAGGACATTTCCAAATTTGACGCATCGGTGACAGGGGTGATGTCCGATGCAGTTCCCTATTTTGACTTCTGCCGTGTGTTCCCGTGTTTTTTCACGTGAACAATTGACTTGCCTTTGCATGTGTTTGTGACGGGTGCCGCCGGTGGGGGTGGATACGCTCACCTTTTCGCGAACACCTGGTATCATAACTGTTTGATAGTGATTCATAAAGACATGCTCATGATATAGTCGGAATCGTACAATCGACTCGGCTTTGTGCAGAGATTTTTATTGGATATGGATATGGAAAAAAGGTTTGTCGCTTTATTTGTGACGGGTGCCACTGGTGGGGCAGGATACGCTCATATTTTTGCAAAACCTGGTACAATTACTAGGTGATAGTGGTTCATAAAAACATGCTCACAATACAGTCGGAATCGTAAATTGACTCTTGTGATTTCTTGTGGCTATGTGTGTAGACATGGACTCATGTGACATAAGGATGTTTCGTGATGAAGTATATATTTTGTATATATCTATATCACAGGGCTAAAAACAATCGCCGAAACACAGCAAACTTCAGGTCCAAAACACTACTTTGACACCCGTAGTTAATACATCACATTCGAATAACCATTACTTGATTGTTTCATTTTTAGCCACTATCAAATACGGGTGGATATTTTATTTATGCCTAGCAGTTTACATTGCTTATTCATGCGAGACATGGTACAAGCACAGTGCTCGTTTAACCAATACAAGATTAAAAGGGCTTCAAACCAGTACACCGTCGTCAATAATCTTTAGATACTAAACTGTCTCAGACTGGCAAGATATACGGTACATACATCAATATAATTTTACCAATATCAATATACATCATTCCAGTGACGGTGGGTTGAATTGTGGTTAAAGCGTTCGTTCGTTACGCCGAAGACCCGGGTTCGATTCCCCACATGGGTACAATGTGTGAAGCCAATTTCTGGTGTTCCCCGCCGTGATATTTCTGGAATATTGCTAAAAGCGGCGTAAAACCATACTCACCCACAACACCAGTCCACGACTTTATCATAACGACGCAATGTAATTCACAATGTCATTGTTTCTTAATCACGTGATCACGTCTCTTTTTACCACGATTCATCATCCAACGCGGTACAAGTTAAGCCATCATACATCCACAAGCGATGTATCTTAGACATAAACAATAAAAAAAACAAGCCAGGCATTCCTTTCCCCATATCAATGTTAACACCTTACTGCACCTGGCCTTATAGATTTACATGTGATTAGCTTGCGCGTCTAGCGGAGAAGTCCAGATGACTTTGAAAGCGTTTCCTATCACATTGAGCAAGCCTGTCTTTCAAAGAGACGATACCCAGACAGTTAGACTGAAACGCCTAATAAAAAGCAAATCAACTCCTACTGAACATGCTTCGGTGCGTAAGTGTTGACATGTTTAAAGCAACCAAGATGATTGAAGATATATACCAGTGCAATAGGAGCCATCGTAGATTAAAGAGCCAAGCTAATTTATACTCTAGTCACTTTCTTCTAATCTCATCTCAACCGTCTGTCTGTCTTTCTGTTGAGCAATTTATTTGTAGGTGATGCCGCTATAAAAAGATACGCTTACGTGTTTCAAAAGAACCAATCGAAAGATCTAAACCGATCTCGTTCCATATACTCCGCCGTGTTTGCAGCCTTCAAGGATATTTGGTTGAGGTGGCAGCCTAAAGACGTTATCAGTTGCAATGATGTAAAGAATTGCATTGAAACTCGCGACGTAAATTATATTTCTAGCCCCATTTCTGTGCATAATTTGAAAGAAGATTTTATAAGGTTGTTCGTGTTAAGAGCGCTTCAGGACATCGCAATGATAAGACTCGTCAAATCGTGATGTGGAAGTATCACGTATTTAAAACGTTCGTCGTGAAAGACGCCAATCATTTAAAAGACATTATTCAGACTACGGTAAAAGTGAAAAAATAAATCAAATTTGCAAAAAGATCGATATCTAATAAAGTTTGCGTTTTGGGGAATTATTTGGGCTTTACGCAACCACGGGCAAACCCTGTCCTCCTACAGCTGCCTATATACTGACATGTCATTTCAAGAACTTGCCATTGGGAATTGTGGCGGTCGTAGCGCCATATGTATTGCAAGTCTCTGTTACCCAGTAAAGGAGATGTGTCAGATATGGTCTAGGATCGAGCTGTGTAACGGTACATGTGTATTCAGTGACGTGTTATTTTATCTAAAGTGACAAAACAATTTCCATAATCATAAGAAATCTCTACCAAAAGCAGAGTCCATTGTACGATTCTGACTGAACCTCAAGCAGCGTTTATGAATCGCTATGAAAGAGTGATGTTACCAGGTGTTCGCGAAAAGTTGAGCGCAGACCACTTGGTTAGTTTGTTAGTTTTAAAGCACTGTCAGAGTCTGGACCAGGCAAACCCGTGATTAATATTATAAGTAACGCCCCATACTGTCGGGGAACGATGCAGGAAAACGGCCCATGCACCGAGTCTGACAACCTTCTTCATGTTGTTGTCTTGCGACAAGCATTGGCTCCTGAGGACATATTAACCCTTGTCCATATGAAGGGCATGCCTACACATGTGAATAACAATGACAAATCCTTTTTTCATAATCCCAAGACATGTCTGGTAACAGCGGAACACATTGTACGATTCCGACCAGGTGAATAAGCATGTATTTATGATTAATCATAATCACTATCAAAAAGTGAGGACACCAGGTGTTCGCGATAAAGTGAGCGTATCCCGACCCACCAGTGGCACTCGTCGCAAACACCTGCAAAGGCAAGGCAGTTGCTCACCTGGGAAAAAAACTCGATGGCCAAACTAGGGAATTGCATGTGCCATAATTTTTGTCAGTGATGAGTAGTCAAATTTGGAAATATCCTCTACATATCTAACATATTATATACGTCATAGTGAGGTTATCCGCTCTACAACATTACAATAGGAATGCAGTTACAAATAGTGACGTCATATGTATGACGTCACCATAGCTGACGTCACAGCCTGTCATGTTTACAAAAGATTTTCTGCACGACTAACTATACAGAAAAGACTACTTCTCAGAACAAGAATTTTCACATTCGTCTGCATATCATACTGATACTTTTTTTCTAAAAGGTTTGACACGCTCACTCATGTCGCAATCTGTTTCAATATGATACTTACCTCGCCATTTAAAAAGCAATAGAACACCGCCACGAAGAGACCCTGAAAACAGCAAAGATATTAATCACCATGGCAGCGCTAGGAGGTGAGTCATACACCTTACATCGCATACAACACTGCTGTCAATATAAAGAAGCATGCCATCGAAATCTTTTCTTAAAAATTCTAAGATGTAATGTGATCCAAAGCCTACGCACATAATGACATAACACAGGATTTCAAGTGCGGTTATTTATGTCAGCTGCATTGTTGTTGGCAAAAACAAACGAACAATAAAAAAACAACTAAAATTGCCAGTAGAAAACACATAAAACTGTCTTGAAATGATATACAACAGTACAGATCGCAATTAGCTTAGTTCTGCAGTGTGCGTGTCAAAGGATCTTATTAAATAGTGATGTTAAACACATGATTTATTTATGTAAAGTTGGTCGATTGAAAGTCACTCTGAGCAACCGTCGTCTCGGGGGTGGGTGGGTGGGGTTGGGTTGTGAGGGCTGGGGTGGTGGTGGAAATTATCCCTTCCCACTTCGCAATCTCCTATTGGCAGCGATAGCTACAAGACGCCGATTAGCTTTTCTGTCCAATCATGCGCGTCGGTATGGAGGTGAGTGAGTGAGTGAGTTGGGTTTAACGCCGCTTTTAACAGTATTCCAGTTATATCGCGGCGTGTCAGCTTAATGTGGGAGGAAAGCCCGAAGTGATGCAGGTCTCGGACGTTTACCACTTCGGTGAAACCCACGAGCACGGGTATGGTGCTGACAAACCTAGAAACATAATTGGGGCGAACCGGGATTCGAACCCACAATCATAGGTTTCTGGCGTGGCCAGGGGACGCAACTCTGCATAGCGAATCGCGGCGCCTTAGACGACTGGGCCACCCGTGCCCCCCGGTATGGAGGTGAAACCCGACATGACGTTGATCATTGATGAAACCCACAGTCACAAACATGGTGCTGACAAATCAAAGACTATATGAATAGTGGGGAAATCGGGATTCGAACACATGATGCTGGGATTCTACCACACCAAAGAGACACATGACCTATTGCGACGCCTCACACGACCAAGCCAAGCCACACATGCTCGTACATTCACAAATTACTCGTTCGAAAATGTCAAAGCGGTGCCTGTGTGTATTTATTTTTTATATGAGGTCCGTGATCATGGTAAATATATCAAAGTGTGTTTTATTTGCTAACATTCAAAACAAAGAATTTCCGTTGCGCATACATCAAGCTGTGTAAATCATCGATTGACATCATATGTGAGCTGACTACTCCAGGATGACCTACATCACCTAGGTAACGGGGTATCCATGCCGGGTGGGACGTGTTGTTGAATAGTGACAAAATGCGCAACCTTCTCTTGATATCGATTTCGCTCAAATTGTAATCGTGTTTAACAATTTGAAAGAAAAATAAATATAGAAAAGTTTTGATATATACAAAGTGGGAAACGACGCCACTTTAGGAATAAATATGTTAACGATATAACCTTTTTCGCGGAACATATGGAGATTATTCATTCGAGCGTTGAAAAGGGTATCAGAACGGCGGTAGACTAGGCCACTCGGTTGCTTCAGTAAATAAATTGTATTTTAACAAGATGAAGACCGTATCTCCTAACCCGTGGTCGAGTGGTAAGCGTCCGCCCGGAGAGCGGAAGGCCCAGGATTCGATCCCCGGTCGCGTCATATCAAAAGACGTTAAAAGATGGCACTTGTTGTTACCCTGTCTGGCGCTGTACAAATGCGTGTCTCCACATATAATCTACGAGCTGTCGCTTAAAGGTTAACCATATTAAAAATTAACAGCACTGAGCAAGAAAGATGATACAAAATCTATCCTAAACACCCGCCTTGACCATCACAATTAATAGTTCCGAAAGTCTGAAGGACACAGTCAGATAGACAAATATATTCAGTTCCTCCTTAATGCCGATTAGGACCATTTTGAGGATTGTGATGAAGAAGGAGGAAAGTTTAGCGACCTGAGTACACATTCCTCCGGATAATCACGTCCCTGGGTGGCATTAGCGATGGTTCATTGGACACCGAAGCCATTTATCAGGCTTGGGCCACTTTGGAGATTGGGATAAGAAGACGGGATAATATAGAATTAGGGGCACTTAGGTATTTAGGCTAACAGTCCACCATTATGGTTTACGATGGTGGCGGAATTGATATATAAAGCGGGCGTGGGCGTCGTTTGATGTCGTGAATGTTTTCACAGCTGATTGCTGTGTGTATGTTGTTATTCGTGATGATGCGTATCCTCTATAGTTCGAGGGGCGATCGGGTAGACTTGTGGTTAAAACGTTCGCTCGTCACGCTGAAGACCCGGGTTCGATTCCCGACATGGGTACAATGTGTGAAGCCCATTTCTGGTGTCAATCGCCGTGATATTGCTGGAATATTGCTAAAAGCGGCGTAAAACCATACTCACTCACTCACTCTATAGTTCATGACAGCCTGCTCTATGATTGACTTAGCTTCCGCATTTTTCGTAGGGGTCGACCATTTGATTTTATCGAAAACAATATCCCCTGAAATGCTTGAAAAACATAATTATGTTCAGAATGTTGATAAAAAGAAATAATCTGCCACACAAATTACATGAGTGTGATGTGTTTTTTCGAAAAAATATTTAGGCTTAATCCCAGGCAGCCCAAACAATATCATATGGTCGGTCCCTCAGTTTAGTGTTCACTCGTGTTGCGCAACAACAGGTTTAATTCAGCACCCCTGAATTATGTTTTAATGTTATTTTAGGTATTTTTATGATATTGTTGGTACATTACAGAACCATAAACTGTTCTCACTTACTCCAAATATTTGTTAGATCACATCACTGCACTTAATAATCAGGTCTACATTAACGCTGACAGAACAGAATATATCCAGTTCCCCGTTCAGACTAAAAGTGAGGTGAGGTGAAATTGGGGTTAACGTCGCGTCCAAGATTATTGCACTTATATAGCGACGTGCATGTACGTGTGTGTGTCTGTGGTTGCTTGTACTAGTCCGGACTGATGCCGATTTATAGTGCTAGCTCACTGAGATACCATGCCGCAGTTTAACATGAATACCCCACTCAGACACAGTATACTGACTCCGAGCCGACCAGTCCTTGTTTCAGCCCCTGAATGCCGAGCGCCAGACAGGGTAACAACAAGTACCATCTTTTAACGTCTTTTGGTATGACGCGTCCGGGGATCGAACCCCGGGCCTTCCGCTCTCCGGGCGGACGCTCTACCACTAGACCACGGAGGCGGTCTTCAGACTATAAAGGTGATTAGGTCGTTATAATGTGTGACCAAACCATGGTAATTCCAAGGGCGTCGATAATCATGCTGTCAACAACTGGATATCCTGGCATAATATCGATACATTTTCATGTTGTCGTGATGCAGATGAAGTATTGCTTACTGAGGGATAAAACAGCATCCAATAAGTCACTCCTTCTCTTATTTATGTCATCTAATCCCGTAGGACGTTGACACAATATCAATCACTGGATTGTGTAGTGAAGACTATATCATTTACATGTGGCCGCCATGTAGCCAGGGTATTGCTGAATGCGGCGATAAATACTATACATACAAGAACAAAACGAGTTTAGCCGTAACAGTATAACCACAGCCACAGTATAACAGAAACAAACTGTCATAGAACGTCGGGTGGTTTGCTAACACCGCTCCAAACTGAAGGGCACACGGGTGGCCAAGTCGTCTGAGGCGCCACAATTCGCTGAGCAGAGTTGCGTCCCTTGGCCCCAGAAACCTATGGTCGTGGGTTCGAATCCCGGTTCGCCCCGATTGTAGCTAAGTTTCACGCTGCTGGGTTTCACTACATTGGTAAACGTCTAAGAACTGTATCACTTCGGTCTTTCCTCCTACATGAAGCTGACGCTGTGATATAACTGGAATACTGTTTTATGTATTAAATCCATCTCACCTACTCGCTCACTCACTCACTCACTCACTCACTCACTCACTAACTCACCCACCCACCCACCCACTCACTCACTCACTCGTCCACTCACTCACTCACCAACCCACTCACTCACTCACTCACTCACTTCTAACTGTAAACCACTGTGTTCCAAACAGAGCAATGGCCGTAATTTGTTGTTCGCGCTCTGTGTGCCCCCAATTGACCATTGACAGTTCGTAATTGTGCTGCTGGATTGATAGATCATAACACTTGAGATACCAGACGAGTCAAGTGATATTTCGCCAGCCAGTCTGAAACATTGTGATGCAAGTTCACTTGAACCTAGCACTACTTAAAACAAGAGCGACCCACGGGAAGAGGTGATTTATACCATTTGGTGGATGTCAATAAAACAAGTTTGCAGGTGATATGAAGCTGTCACCCAGTCCCGATTCACCGCATAATGTCAGTAAAGAAGTACAATCAGTAACCCAGGGGGAGCATTGCCATGATGACACTGTGACCAGCCGGCCACAAAGTAGCTCAGTGGCCCAGTGACAATTGGTGATCATGGCGTTAGACAGAGCCCGCTAGCGACCATGAAAGTGTAAGGTTTGTTTGTTTGTTGTTTAATGCCGCACGCAGCAATATTCCAGCTATATGACGGTGAAAGTGTAAGGAGTACCAACAGTATTCTACGGTGGCCCATAAACGACATGGAGTCTGTTTTTCAATATTTTGATGTTTCACTTACTTTTATCGTAACCTTTTGCAAATTAACACAATTTGTCATACAAATATGTGATAAATCATGTATAAAAACAACCGAAAACAAGGAAAATGTACTTTCAAGTAGCTATTGAGTCGCTGAAATTTGAAGCGAAAATGTCAAAAACTAAAATGGAAATGTCAAAAACCAAAACGAAAATGTCAAAAACAAAAGCGAAAATGTCAAAAACTAAAATGAAACCACAGAAAACTATTTTTCTGTATTTTCATTTTAGTTTTTGACATTTTCGCTTTTGTTTTTTGACATTTTCATTTTTAGTTTTTGACATTTTCGTTTCACTTTTCAGCGATTCAATATCTTCTTTACACATGATTTATCACATATTTGTAAGACAAATCGTGTTAATTTGCAAAAGGTAACGATAAAAGTAAGTGAAATATCAAAATATGGAAAAACAGACTCCATGTCCCTTATGGGCCACCGTAGTATTCAGTACTTAAATGTGTGTCGGGAGAACTCATCATACTAAGTCACGTTAATGTTTCTGAACGTCAATGTTATGTGCCTATCCTATAGCGAACACCTGCTGGCATCGCTGACATTCAGTGATCCATTAATATAAGTATCACCTCTATTTTGCCTTTTTGAGTCTTTTTCGGCGGATAATCGAGATTGGTTGTTTTCTGGCGTTGACATTGTATACTCACATGAAGGTTTGATCATGTAGGGGATTTCGCACAATCTTTAATTCTCGTCCCCAATATAGGCATCAAGAGGAAAAAAATGATAAGCTGTTCCTCGTTAACATCATGGGTGTCAGCAGCACCGGTCATATAGTTCATTTTAAATATGTATTTGTATATGTTTGAAATTCTAGGATGCTAGGATAAATTATGTTATGTCACTTTTGTCATGTTGTCAGTATTGTCTGATGAGAAGTTAACTGGCCTGAACATAAGCAGTACGTTCTTCCATTACTACTTGAATTCACATATGTGTGACCTACCCTTGGTTGCGACTTTATTAACGTGGAACCATTTATCGTAGGTCATTAGTTGCGAGGAACAACTAGTATCCTCCGCACGTCATTAGTTGTGAGAAGGCATTGACAGTAGGTCATTAGTTGCAAGGAACCATTGTCTGTTGGTCTTTAGTTGCGAGGAACAATTGTCTGTAGGTAATTGATTTTGGGACAGTATTGTCTGTAGGTCATTAGTTGCGAGGAACGATTGTCTGTAGGTCATTAGTTGCAAGGAAACATTGTCTGTAGGTCATAAGTTGCGAGGAACCATTGTCTGTAAGTAATAATTTGGGAGAAAGTATTGTCTGTAGGTCATTAGTTGCGATGATCTATCCTCCGCACGTCATTAGTTGCGAGTAGGCATTGACAGTAGGTCATTAACTGTGAGGAACCATTGTCTGTTGGTCTTTAGTTGCGAGGAACAATTGTCTGTAGGTAATTGATTTTGGGACAGTATTGTCTGTAGGTCATTAGTTGCGAGGAACGATTGTCTGTAGGTCATTAGTTGCAAGGAAACATTGTCTGTAGGTCATAAGTTGCGAGGAACCATTGTCTGTAAGTAATAATTTGCGAGAAAGTATTGTCTGTAGGTCATTAGTTTCGAGGAACGATTGTCTGTAGGTCATTAGTTGCAAGGAACCATTGTCTGTAGGTCATTAGTTGCGAGGAATCATTGTCTGTAGGTAATTGGTTTTGAGAAAGTATTGTCTGTAGGTCATTAGTTGCGATAAACCATTGTCTGTAGGTCATTAGTTGCGAGAAGGCATTCGCTGTAGGTCATTAATTGTGAGGAACCATTGTCTGTAGGTCTTTAGTTGCGAGGAACCATTGTCTGTAGGTAATTGGTTTTGAGAAAGTATTGTCTGTAGGTCATTAGTTGCGATGATCTATCCTCCGCACGTCATTAGTTGCGAGTAGGCATTGACAGTAGGTCATTAATTGTGAGGAACCATTGTCTGTAAGTCTTTAGTTGCGAGAAACAATTGTCTGTAGGTAACTGGTTTTAGTACAGTATTGTCTGTAGGTCATTAGTTGCGAGGAACCATTGTCTGTAGGTCATTAGTTGCATTGAACCATTGTCTGTAGGTAATAGGTTTTGGTACAGTATTGTCTGTAGGTCATTAGTTACGAGGAACCATTGTCTGTAGGTCATTAGTTGCAAGGAACCATTGCTTGTAGGTCATTAGTTGCAAGGAACCATTGCCTGTATGTCATTAGTTGCAAGGAACCATTGTCTGTAAGTCATTAGTTGCGAGAAGGCATTCACTGTAGGTCATTTATTGTGAGGAACCATTGGCTGTATGTCTTTAGTTGCGAGGAACCATTGTCTGTAGGTAATTGATTTTGAGAAAGTATTGTCTGTAGGTCTTTAGTTGCATGGAACCATTGTCCGTAAGTCATTAGTTGCGATAAACCACTGTCTGTAGGTCATTAGTTGCGAGAAAGCATTCACTGTAGGTCATTAATTGCGAGGACTGTTGTCTGTAGGTCATTAGTTGCGAGAAGGCATTCACTGTAGGTCATTAATTGCGAGGAACTGTTGTCTGTAGGTCATTAATTGCGAGGAACCATTGTCTGTAGGTCATTAGTTGCGAGAAGGCATTCACTGTAGGTCATTAATTGCGAGGAACTGTTGTCTGTAGGTCATTAATTGCGAGGAACCATTGTCTGTAGGTCATTAGTTGCGAGAAGGCATTCACTGTAGGTCATTAATTGTGAGGAACTGTTGTCTGTAGGTCATTAGTTTTGAGGAACTATTGTCTGTAGGTCATTTGTTGCGAGTAGGCATTGACAGGAAGTCAGGAAGTTGCGTGGAGTCATTGTAGATAGTTAGTTACGACCCTGTGTCCTGGGCCGTATGTGTTAATATTGTCAGACAAGTTCGACTAATAACGGAGATTCTCCACATTAGTCTTCACATGGCCATGTTTCTTATTTTTGAAAATTACCTCAGAGCATAAATGCAAGACATATCAGCACAATCACGGGTGTTTCCAGAAACAAGGAATAAGAACCTCGCTTTTCTTAAACTTTGTTCCTACAAAGAATACGAAAAGCAAATTTACATTTTCCGAACCCTCAATAGATTTCGCAGCGTTTTATACAGAAAGGGATTTACCTGGAATGACTGAAGGAAAGCATTGGCATACTGAAACACGGTCTGTACCACGTGGTCGTTGCTCGGCGGAATCAAGAAAAGCACGTAGGTGACCCCCAGCAGGGGAAAGAGGATAATGGTAGCCTTCACGGCCTTTCTGGAAAACGATAACCGTAAAACCTGTATTGACTTCTCAGCACAGTAGAGTTCAATTTCCAGTTGTAAAATTAGAAAGACAAAATCTATATGAGACAAATTATAACATCGCACATTATTTAAAACGCGTATATGGCACACATCGTAATCTGTGAGAGTGAGTGAGTGAGTGAGTTTGAAGCCGCTCTTTGCAATATTCCAGCAATATCACGGGTTTCACACGTTGTACCCTTGTCGGCAATCAAACATGCCTTCAGCATGATCTACATCAGTGCATATGCGCGCGCACGCACGCATAAAAGCAGTAGATGTGCAGACACAAAAACATAAACGTCAGACACACAAACACACAAACTCACTAACACGCATAGGCAAACCAACAAACGCACAGAGTAGTTATGTTTAATGTTTGTTTGTTTGTTGCCCCTCTTAACAATATTACAGCCATATGACGGCGGTCTGTAAATAATCGAGTCTGGACCAGACAATCAAGTGTTTGACATCATGATCATCGACCTACGTAATTGCAATCCGAAGACATGCAACCAAGTCAGCGAGCCTGACCACCCGTTCCAGTTAGTCGCCCCTTACGACAAGCATAGTTGCCTTTTACGGCAAGCATGGGTTGCTGAAGATCTATTCTACCCCGGACCTTCACGGGTCGGTCATGTTTAATTAATATGTCAGTGTGTAAAATTAATATGTCAGTGTGTATAATTGATATGTCAGTGTCTTACATCGCGAAGTGCATCAAATATGTCAAATATGTCAGTGTGTACCTGTATTGTCGGGTTTCCAGATTGTGTGAGGCCTTCAGTTTTGTGATGAGAACCCAGATAATGGCGGACAGGAAGAGGATGTTGCTCTGTAAAAGACACACAAACAGATTAGACAACCTTGTCACAGCTTACATATCATCTTCCAAGAGGGCTAAGTGACTTTAAAAGTCCAGTTTCCACCCTTGCCGAACTAGCCTGGAATTCCTGGGCTCGATCGTAGCGCCACCTGTGGCTATAGCGAGTTATGTCCCTTCTAAGCCTCTCCTATGGACCAATCAGATGCCACCTCTCATATCACTTGCATTTGCTTAAAAAATGGCGGCTCCCAGTCAAGACGATCTGATCGATAATCAATATCTATATTGTGATAAAACGGGTCTTACATCGCGAAGTGCATCAACTAACGTGAGCACCTTGATTAAAAACATGAAAGGATTTGGAAAATATCTGTTGACAACGAGGTGGCAGTGCGCATGCTTTACAAATCCTGCAATCGACCGAAATCTGCACGACAGTCTACGAACCGGATTTCGATTTCGTTGTGCGAGTTTGATTGGACAATGCATAAACTCGTTAGTCCAGCCAAAATGTAACTCCATAATACCAGCCTAGTTCGGCAACGGTGGAAATTAGACTTTTATAGTCAGTTAACTCTCTTGGCTCGGGAAGATGCTTACATACAAGCAATCATATTTTATTTCAAAATACATCGGTATGTTTTCGTCTTTTTAATGGCATATTCCATATTCATATTAGAACAGACGCAAATGAAATGCCATTCATTTAATCTATTTTTACAAGTCTTCCCGACGTCATTAATGACGTCATGTTCACATGGCCAATAGATATTCCAGGGGCATGGGTAGCTGAGAAGTCTAAGGATGTGGACGTTATCTATGTAGAATTGTCTGCCTCAGCAGTGACAAGATCATATGATCGTGGGTTCGAATCCCAATTTCGCCTAGATTATGATCATCCATGTGCCAACAGCATACCCACGAACTTTGGTGTCACTAAAGCAGCAAACATCTTCGTGAGCGAGTTCGTGATAGAGTATGGCATTTTTAGCAATATTCAAGCAATATTCATGCAATATCACGGCGAAGGACACCAGAAATGGGCTTCACACATAATACCCATGTGGGGAATCGAACTCGAGCCTTCGGCGTGATAAGCGAACGCTTTAACCACTAGGCTACCCTACCGCCCCACAACGCCAGAGAATATTCGATTATCCAACGAAATAGATTTATTCCTCTAGGCGTAAAAGGCAAAAGCGGGGTGAACATAACTAGATCACTGAAAAAACAACACGTTTTGTTGTATCTACTCTTCTGCCACAAGGGGCGGTGGGGTAGTCTAGTGGTTAAAGCGATCGCTCGTCACGCCGAAGATCCGGGTTCGATTTCACAAGGGTACAATGTAAGAAGCCCATTTCTGGTGTCTTCCGCGTTGATATTGCTGGAATATTGCTAAAAGTGTCATAAGACCATACTCACTCACTCTTCTGTGAGTTCTCGATAAACAGGTCATAGGAACATCGGGGCCCACTTGCACAAAGCGATCTTAGCGCTAAGATGATCGTAACTCCCATTCTTTAACATAGGCTTAAGATAGTCTTAGCGCTAAGATTGCTTTGTGCAAGTGGGTCTTGGTCTTATTCTGACAGTACAAGCAATGCATAATTCACTTACCACGAGGACCCAGAATATAGGGACATGGAGTATGTAGTCATAGTGTGTATCTGATGGCAGCCAGCACCTGCACAATGAGACAACATCGTCAGTGGAATCCTTGTCATTCAGACAGGCACAAGGGTGATTTAGTGATCTGGACAACGTGGCGTGTCGAGTTACGTCCCTTAGCTGACACATCAATTCAAACTTCGAAAACAGTTTTCTTCCATAAAAAACTCCCTTTCATTTGGAGGAATTTTCCCTTAACTGCCACGTTAGTTCTATATTTGAAAATAGTTTTTTTGGCATGAAAAACCCGACTCAAATAAAAGGAAATAAGGGCAAACAAGTTTTGTATGCGAGCTGGTAAGATGAATGGCTTTGAGAACATTTACTTTACTTTAACAAGCTTTGTGGTAATGACTGCTTAGTTTGTACATTGAAATGCTATTTGTTTGGTTGATTACATATGGGCGAACTTTCCCGTACTTGCCAGGTACTTGATCTGTTTTTTTTTTTTCTTGTTTAAGAATATTAACTCAGCTATTTTCCAGCTTTATGACGGCGGTCTGGGAATAATCGAGACCAGACAATCCGGTGATTGACATGCGCATCGATCTACGCAATTGGGATACGATGACATGCATCAACCAAATCAGCGAGCTTGACCACCCGATCCCGTTAGTCGCCTCTTACAACAAGCATAGTTGTAGTTCTGGCAATTTGTTGACTCCCACAGAGCACACTGGTGGCCCAGTCGTCTATTTAAAGAGTCGTAATTAGCTTGCAGAGTGACGTCCCTTAGACATGCCAGGATCCCTCGATTCGAATTCCGATAAACATACCGTGAAAAACTGAAATACTGTTCAAAGCGGCGTTAAACCAAAGTCACACACACTCACGTAACGCCTCACCTACTTTATTTAATGATGATGCACAAACCCTTGGATGGACGTGATACTGGTAATGGACCTGAGGCCATTTTTAAGTTGCAATCAAACACAACCAGATTCGGTTTTATCTTGAAACCAACGAGCCGAACACCAATGAGAATTATCGGTCCCAGTTTGGTCATTTGACGATGAATCTTACCCACACTTAATCCCTACAACACTTGAGCTAATTGGCGTTGTGATAGTTTCAATAAATAGTCTTGTTGAAATTCAACACTGCTTCTTCCAAATTTTCCACCACGCTCGATGGCGCTTTTACATTGAAATAGGTAGAAGGATTGAACCTCGTTTCCATGCAATTCACTGAACTCCATGAATAAAATGAATGCGCATTTTAGTATAGATCATATTCTGATATGTCCATTGATCAGATTGCGCAACGCGGACATATTAAGTTTATTTCGAAATGAAAATATCAATTGCATAGCCATTTTAAAAATATAAACGTGGAGTAGAAGTCTTTTTAACAAAAACCAATAATTGGGTTCGTGACACAGGACACTGGGGTCATTTTCAAGATAGAGAAACTTGACAGCATGGATTCCGTTGCTTTGAGATATTTCCTCCAATTTACACATCATTACCATGAACTTGCGTGAAGCAGAGATATATAGCTTCTGGAACTATCTGAAATTCGATAATACTTGATCCATTTCCTGTCTGAAATGAAACTATGTTTTCGTCAAGAGATTGCAAAGTAATATGAATGTCCTTCAAATTATCATTGTTTTTACTTGAAGATTCAATAACAGTATGAAAATTACAACGGGAAATAGTTTTCAACATATTCTGCAATTCAGGATGTTATCTGATTGTGGACAGAAAAAAATGTTCACCGTAAAACCCACTAAACAGACCCTATGTTTGGCACCGGATATACATGTATTTACAATACTGTTTCTTGGGCGGGGGCCAGGAGCGTACACGAATTGCAACGATCGATGTGCTGTTATTACCACAAGACTAATATTTCATGTACTTCATAAACGTTATTTTAGTAAATATATTCTTGGAACATGAAATCATGAATATAAATACGTGAGTGAAGATTAAATTCCGACTGAAGGGGCTCGCGATGTGAGACGCCAAGATTACCACACATTTGTGATTATTTGTGTCATTCCTGTACAAGCCGATTGGCGAATCGCACCCCTTCGTTGCTAATGACTGGGTTCCGTCTCAGCGCTAGCGGCCATAGCAACGAATATTTAGTCAGTTTGCGCCCTTCCCACGCAATGCCAAATGCATAGGTTCTTTTAACAAGCAATGTGACACACCGGTAATATGCGGTACGGTTCAATCTTGTAACTGTCAAGATACGGTAAACAGATAACAGGGACATGAAAAACGTGGGATTCCAAGGCGAGAGTGCTTGCGAGGGGACTGATTGGTTTGGAGGTTTATTCATCCAGATATGGCGTGACAATTACGATGCTACCTTGTTATATTAGAATCACGTGTTCATATTTGTCCGTCACTGGCAAGTAGGGATGAAACGTTTTGTAAAAGGAAATACTAGAATTAAATGAATACTCGAAATTTCGAAAACATGCCTTTGGTAGTCAGGTTGGTAGTCATTTTGGAGGCCAGTTTATGGTCACGTTGGTGGTCACGTTGGTGGTCACGTTGGAGGTCACCTTGGTGGTCACTAGAGTGATCACTATGGTGATCATGTTGGTGGTCGCGTTGAAGGTCATGTTGGTGGTCACATTGGAGGTCACGTTGGTGGTCACGTTGGTGGTCACTTTGGTGGTCACTATGGTGGTCAATGTGATGGTCACTGTGATGGTCACGTTGGTGGTCACTTAGGTGGTCACGTTGGTGGTCACGTTGGTGGTCACTTAGGTGGTCACGTTGGTGGCCACTTTGGTAGTCACTATGGTGGTCAATGTGATGGTCACGTTGGTGGTCACGTTGGTGGTCACGTTGGTGGTCACGTTGGTGGTCACTTAAGTGGTCACGTTGGTGGCCACTTTGGTAGTCACTATGGTGGTCACGTTGGTGGCCACTTTGGTAGTCACTTTGGTGGTCAATGTGATGGTCACTATGATGGTCACGTTGGTGGTCACGGTGGTGGTCACGTTGGTGGCCACTTTGGTAGTCACTATGGTGGTCACGTTGGTGGTCACGTTGGTGGTCACTAAGGTGGTCACGTGAATGGCCACTTTGGTAGTCATGTTGGTGGTCACTTTAGTGGTCACCATGATGGTCACTGTGGCTATCTCTTAGATGTCACTATGGTGGTCACTAAGATGGTCACGTTGGTGGTCACGTTGGTGGTCACTTAGGTGGTCACGTTAATGGCCACTTTGGTGGTCACTATGGTGGTCACGTTAATGGCCACTTTGGTGGTCACTATGGTGGTCACGTTAATGGCCACTTTGGTAGTCACTATGGTGGTCACGTTAATGGCCACTTTGGTAGTCACTATGGTGGTCACGTTAATGGCCACTTTGGTAGTCACTATGGTGGTCACGTTAATGGCCACTTTGGTAGTCACTATGGTGGTCACGTTAATGGCCACTTTGGTAGTAATGTTGGTGGTCACTTTGGTGGTCACCATGATGGTCACTGTGGCTGTCTCTTAGATGTCACTATGGTGGTCACTACGGTGGTCACTTTGGTGGCCCCTCTAGATTCTCGTATTGATAGGTAGCCAACTCTGAAGTGCATTTGTCACCCCATTTCTTGCGAATGAATGTCGAATGGATGTGGAACTTGCTAAGTTTGTAAATGGAGATTCACTTCCTTGTGCCTATCAATTATTGAATATTTCACCACATATCGATTAATGTAGAATAACCTCCACACGCGAGGTTCTCTTATCTACGAAGGTTTATATATTTGATATTAAAAGAAGTGATTTTATCTGTTATCCAACATCAGTCAGTCATTAGGGAAGGAGACATCATATTGATGTGATGACCACGGTAGAGTTTGAGGCCATATTAAAATTAAAAAATGTGCATAATCTCAAAATGATTTGAAAATGCACATACATGTATTTAATTCGACTGAAGCTTTTGCAGCCCAGCTTTTTAATGCACTTTCACGACAACTGTACAAGACATTGGGTTTATGTCAGTTCATACCACACCACATATTCCTATGATAAATTGGTTAATCCGTTTTGAATACCACCCGTCTGTGGAATAGCTCCCGTGTGACATCACAGTCGTAAAGTGACATCACACTGTAATGCCATTGTTATATATGACGTCACAGTTAAGGGACGTTTTGACCTTGCACCCAAGTACATCCTCTCAAATTAAAGTTCGGAAGACTGACTGTCGTCGGGGCAGGAATGCGATGAAACGTGTTTTGAAGTAAAATATAGTCCAAAATAAACTCATTTGTGTTTATATCTGGATATTTAAACCCCCAACTAACGCTTAGATCAATGAACTAGTAGGTGATCAAGAATGCAATATCTCTTCGGATATATTGTTTGATCTCTCAGAAGCGATATCTCCTGGGGAACCAGTATTGGATTTTAAACACAAATAGCTTCCAACTCTTATTACAACCCCGTGGTGATAATTTATCGTGGTAGTTATGGTAATATAATGCTTGAGGAATCCAAAGAGACTCCAATTTGAGACTGTTTGATTTCTCGTTCAGTTGCAGATGGATAACACAAATTACGTAGCTTGTAACCCTTTACATTTGAGTGAGTGAGTGAGTGAGTATGGTTTTATGGCTTTCAGCAATATTTAAACAATTTAACGGCGGGGACACCAGAAATGGGCTTCACACAGTTTACCCATGTCGGGAATTGAACCCGAGTCTTGACGAGCGAACGCTTTAACCACTAGGTTACCCCACCGCCCCCTTAGACTAAGGAACAGATCATTCATTCTATGCACGTGTCGGTTCAAACGTACATCAACCGTCGAAAAGGTTGCGACAGATCGTGGTTATTCTGATTAGAGTATAAACACACGAGAAGCTGGCATACGAGACCCCAAAATGTGACATTTATAATAATTGTAATTGTATATCGTTGCCAGGAAGCTGCCAGCTATAGCTATTTGTTCAGTGACAATGCATACGAGATATCTTTCTAATGTTGTTATACCCTGTCTTAATTTATCTTATAACTACTACAGCGTTGTGTTACCCACATACCACACATAATGGGAACCAGGAAGAAACTGTACAGACAACCTCTAAAATACAGTGTACATTTCGCTTATATAAACAGACATTCAACTAAGTGTATAATATTTATGATTTTAAACTTATGTTTATGAATCATATTCTATCACAATGTACGAAAATGCCAAAAGGAATATTGAAAAACTGAACTTCCAGACTTTTTATTAAAAGTTGGTGTGCGAATCCGTCGACTCGAAATATTAAAAAAAATAAAATCCGACAAGCACTTTTCTTTCGTAAATACCACCGACCAAAATTAATTATAAGTAAAATTTGATAAACAACAAAATCTTTTACCGTCGCTATCAAAATAAATACACTCAAGCTCCTATGCCCTGCCACACCCCACCACCTAGCCCCACTCCACCATCCGCACAACACTCCACCCCCACCCCACTTCCTAGTTAACGTTTTATGGAAAACGATATTAGAAATTTGTTTTTTGGTTTGTTTTTTGTTATCTTCGTTCCGACCTTAAATCCGTAACACTCTCCAAACATAAATCTGGCCTTAGCACTGTAGATTCTCCCAAAGACAAAAACAGTAATTGAAAAGTAAAATTATATTTCTGCACAAACAAATCCTTTACCAAATAAAATTATTTTAAAGACCGAAACCATAAATACTTTCATTTTCGTAATCTTTCCTTTTATCAAATATCATGAAGAGCTACTAGACGAACTATGTAGATTACAATGTAATCACATCTGTAGAAAAGATCAATTTTCAGGCTAAAACAAGATCAATTTATTTTTAAATTTAGCTGATTTATCACGGTTTATATTTAGGCGTGTCATGCTGTTCCCTTAAAACAAGAACAGCGGGAGATCATTATCCGTTGCATTTGTTCATGGAATGTAATTAAAGTTTCAAAAGAGACTCTTGTTGAGGTCGCCCTGGTTTGGTTGAACATTTTCAGTCCATACTTAAGCGCGTATTGAAACCTTGTACCATGACGAGTAAAGTCTGTTGAGGGAAACGTAGGAGTCACAGTTGGTTCCTATGTACGGAACGCCAAGGCCGCAGGTGCAAGGGGGGGGTTCTTCAACAGCAGGCAGTATGTATGTTCTGTGACTTACGTAGAATACGTCATCATTATAGACTTTGGCATAACATCCTTTTACGGAAAACATTTGTAAAATAAACAGAACTCTTTGTAGTCTGTATTTATGCCGTGTGTAGTGGTGTGTAGTGGTGGGCGTGTAGTGGTGTGGTGTGGTGTGTTGTGGCATTTAGTGGTGTGGTGTGCAGTGGTGTGTAGTAGTGTGGTGTGTAGTGGTGTAGTGTGGTGTGGTGTGTGGTGTGCAGTGGTGTGTAGTAGTGTGGTGTGTAGTGGTGTGGTGTGTGGTGATGTGGTGTGTGGTGATGTGGTGTGTAGTGGTGTGGTGTGTAGTGGTGTGTAGTGGTGCGCAGTGGTGTGGTGTGTAGTGGTGTGGGGTGGTGTGGGTGGTGTGTAGTGGTGTGGTGTGTAGTGGTGTGTAGTGGTGTGGTGTGTAGTGGTGTGGTGTGTGGTGATGTGGTGTGTAGTGGTGTGGTGTGTAGTGGTGTGTATTGGTGTGCAGTGGTGTGGTGTGTAGTGGTGGGCGGTGGTGTGGTGTGTAGTGGTGTGGGGTGGTGTGGGGTGGTGTGTAGTGGTGTGGTGTGTAGTGGTGTGTAGTGGTGTGGTGTGTAGGGGTGTGGTGATGTGGTGATGTGGTGTGTAGTGGTGTGGTGTGTAGTGGTGTGTATTGGTGTGCAGTGGTGTGGTGTGTAGTGGTGGGCGGTGGTGTGGTGTGTAGTGGTGGGCGGTGGTGTGGGGTGGTGTGTAGGGATGTGGTGTGTAGTGATGTGGTGTGTAGTGGTGTGTAGTGGTGTGTAGTAGTGTGATGTGTAGTGGTGTGCAGTGGTGTGGTGTGTAGTGGTGTATAGTGGTGTGGGGTGGGGTGGGGTGTAATGGTGTAGGGTGGTGCATAGTGGTGTGTGGTGTGTGGTGGTGTGTAGTTGTGTGGTGTGGGGTGGTTTGTAGTGGTGTGTAGTAGTGTGTAGTGTAGTGGTGTGGGGTGGTGTGTAGTGGTGTGTAGTTGTGTGGTGTGTGGTGTGTGGTGTGTAGTGGTGTGTAGTTGTGTGGTGTGTAGTGGTGTGGTGTGTAGTAGTGTGGTGTGTAGTAGTGTGGTGTGGGTTGGGATGGGATGGTGTGTAGTGGTGTGTCGATCTTCGCAATTGGGATACAATGACATGCATCAACCAAGTCAGAGACCAGTCCTGATCGCCTCTTACGGCATGGGTTGCTGAAGACCTGGATCGTCACGAGGGGATGAAGATACCATTATAGCAATCTGATAACGCAACATGTAAACTGCACTTACTGGAAGTCATCTAGCGTCGATCTGACCACGGCCCATACGATCGTGTATATGAAAGGTATACCTACAAACAGAGAACACTGTTGTGAACATGATAAAGTGTCAGCCATTTTGAATTGCAGCGCATATAGAGTTAAGCTCTCAACATCTTCAACAAAGTCTCTTTGCAATTCTCTTTTGTCAATCTAACTCGATAAATAACCCCACCCCATATCCCGACTCACTCACTCACTCACTCACTCACTCTCTCTCTCTCTCTCACTCACTCACACACTCACACACTTAATGCCAATGCCAATGTGTTTGACAAGCCCCTCCAATATGTATTGGGTCTTATATATTATAAAAGTCATTGTCAACTTCTCGCAATTTTTTTCATGTTTTGCTTGTTTCATGTTTCAAAAGGTCCAGACCGCGATATTTTGAAAAACGCCGATCGTGGAGAACACAATAACGTATGTCCCTTACAGTGCTCCATACTTCATCCGTATTTTCTCATACATTCCCTAATCCTCACTAACCTCTTTAATCCTGTAATCAACAGAGTTATGGCTGAGACGTACCCCATCCGACGATCATGTAGTGCCACAGCTTTATCTTGTCTGCAGAGTAAGCCCACACGATGATGGTAAACAGGTATAACCCTTCCACAAACATCCAGAAGAAATTGGTTCCGTGGAAATAGTTGTACAGGGTCACTATGATCTTGCATATCCACTGCAAAGACACAACATAATAACATCATTAGCACAGATGTAGGTGGGTGTACAACAAAACCTTGATATTCTGGACAGTAGCGTTCCGAGGAAATCGTCCGGAATAACAAAGTTCCGGGTTGACAAATCATGAGTGTTCATGATGTTCCTCTGTCGATATAAATAGTGGGAGTGAAGAATGTTACTTAATTACCCTTTCAGGAATTTGATTCCGGATTAACAGGATTAAATTTCCAAAATTGACGCATCAGTGACAAAATTTGCCGATGCAATTCCCCAATGGTAGCATATATGTTGACGTGTTTTTGCAGGAGAACAACTGACTTGCTTTTGCATGTGTTTGTGACGTGTGTCACTGTTGGTCAAGATACGCTCACCTTTTCGCTAACTTTTGCTTATGACATAGTCGGAATCGTACAATTTAAAATTTGTCGCTTTTATATAAATGCATAATATAAGAGTGAGTGAGTGAGTGAGTACGGTTTTACGCCGCTTTTAGCAATATTCCAGCAATATCACGGCGGGGGACACAAGAAATGGGCTTCACACATTGTACCCATGTTGGGAATCGAACCCGGGTCTTCGGCGTGACCAGCGAACGCTTTAACCACTAGGCTACCCGACCGCCCCCATTATATAAGAACTGATATCCAGCGATGATAATATATATCATGGAAATCACCTTACTTTATATCTTCATATAAAATGGCAATTTGCAAAAACCGTTTCCTGCATTTCTATTAGGGCGAAACATATTTGTTTTTGTGTACAAAGTGGCATACTTGTCTAAGTGGGATCTACTTGTAGCCACTAACTGTGCTCGGAACGCTTATTGATGCTTTTAAAACTCTTGTAACGTTAAAATGTCATCGTACTGGACATTGCTGTTGTGATACAAGTTATTTCTGAACAGACTCCTTCGGAAAATTGGGTAACGAAGCCATGAAACCACCATGAGTGAGCCAGTGGCTGAGTTGGGTTTAACGTTGAAAATATGTCAGTTATATCACGGCGTGTCAGCTTCAAGTGTGAGGAAAACCCACGAACACGGGTATGGTGGTGACAAACGCATCATATTCGCGGTTAATCTGGAATTCGAACTCAAGATCACAGGATCCTGGATACCTACGGGTAGGAACTCCCCAGGGAGCTGAGATGATAATCGAGCGCACACCGATCCATTGACCGGGATAATAATGTGAGAGCTTTGAGCATGCACTTTGTGTATGGAGACAAGCGCAAGATTAGTACAGTAAAGTATGGTTATAACGAACACGCTTATAACGAACTGACGGATATAACGAACTTACTTTTTTGTCCCTAACATTTGCTGTAGTTATGCTGTATATATGCTTATAACGAACTGCGGTTATAACGAACTAAAATTAGTGGTCCCTTTGAGTTCGTTATAACCGTAGTTTACTGTACACAGACTTACCTATTACTAACCCGCTGTTAGTCGGGACGAGCAAACGCTTGCACCAATGGCCAAAGCCTACATCCCTCGATCTAAAGACGTCCCCGAAAACTAAACTAAAAGTGAAGATTGTATAACCTTGCTTTTCAGGTGATCGGTAATGCGTCCTACTGCGAAACTTCAGAAGGATTACTCGTCCGTTACTCCCGACGTACGCTATGTATGTGAATCAGGTAATCTGCACATCGCACCTAATGAGAGTTTGATGTTCTGGAGCCTACTGTAGCAGACAGTAGACTTATCAGTCTTCCAATGTTTGATAAGTATCCAATACTCTTCCTCTTCAGTTATTCAGTAATTGGAATGGAACATTTGTCCTTGAAACACATATAATGCAGTCAGCAAAAAACTGACGTGAAAATCTATATGCTATATTACAGTCGTCTCACGCGCCCCACATCGATTTGCCATGTTCATCGATCCTCGCACTTGACACAATAATTATTATCCCGAGTTCGAATTTTGCTGATTTTTATTATTGGTTCGTCGGCACCTAGCCCTGCTCCCGGGTTTCAACGGAGTGGTAAACGTCTAAGACCTTAATCACTTCGGCATTTCTCCCAGATCAACTGAAACGCTGCGTTGCAATTAAAAAACATTTCAGAGTGGCGATAAACCATACTCACTCAAGCACTCACTCAAAAATACATCAACGAAGATGGTGGCCTAATGCAGATGGTATTCTGGAACGTGTTGATAAAATCTGTTTTCACGATCGTAATATTTTGTTTTAACTGAAGATCTCTTACCAGCAATACACATGTAAATGTTGTCCTTGGTCCTGATACGTCAGTAAACCCAAAAGAACACTCATCAAAAGAAGTTACAAATACATGTCATATAACGTGACTGGCATGAGGCCAAATATGTTCAACACGTATGAAACTATATGCTCATGTATTTCAATGGTACATGGAACCGCGTCGGTTTGGCGTGGGCATTATTAGCGAGTGTGACTGACTGTGTGCTTAATAAATTCTCCCCCCTCACCATTTTTTACAGGTGTTACGTGCCTATGCACAGGAGTATGTTATATGTAAAATATTATAAAGTATTAAGGTGAGGTGAAATGTGGTTTACGTCGCGTCCAAGATTATTGCATCTTTTATATAGCGACGTGCATGCACGTGTATGTGTGTTTGAGGCTGCTTGTACTAGTCCGGACTGATGCCGATTTATAGTGCCAGCTCACTGAGATACCATGCCGCAGTTTAACATGAATACCCCACTCAGACACAGTATACTGACTTCGAGCCGACCACTCCTTGTTTTAGTCCTTAATGCCGAGCGCCAGACAGGGTAACAACAAGTACCATCTTTTAACGTCTTTTGATATGACGCGAACCCCGGACCTTCTCTCCGGGCGGACGCTCTACCACTAGATCACGGAGGCGGTCCTTGTCTTTTAGAAGACACAAGGGTGAGATTATATTCAATTTATTATTATATTTATCATCCAAAAGCATTCTTCCAACTTTTCAGTTTGTAAACAGTAATACACAGATGAGTGTAAAAAGGCAAGAGAGTTAACTGACAATAAAAGTCCAGTTTCCTCCCTTGCCGAACTAGGCTGGTATTATGGAGTTACATTTTGGCTGGACTAACGAGTGCATAGTCCAATCAAAATCTTGCAACGAAATCGAAATCCGGTTCGTAAACTGTCCCGCAGATTTCGGTCGATTGCAGGATTTACAAAGCATGTGCACCGCTAACTCGTTGCCAACAAGGGTGGAAACTGGACTTTTAAAGTCAGTTTACTCTCTTGCCTCGGGAAGATGTATAGATATTGTCATTTGATTGTGACATCATGGTGACCAGTCTTGCGAAGCCAGTTTTGGATGACAAATGGGTTTAATCGTAGCAGCTGCTCCACTGCAGATCCATAGCCCCTTCGAATGAGTTCATGCATCCCCAGCCTTATGTACACAACGTTAAAGATAGTAACTAACATATCAGCTGTATCAACGAGAGGCACGGGTGGCCCAGTCGTCTAAGGCGCCGCGTTTGCTGTGCAGAGTTGCGTCCCTTGGGCACGCCAGAAACCTATTATTGTGGGTTCGAATCCCGGTTCGCCCCGATTATGTTTCTAGGTTTGTCAGCACCATACCGTGCTCGTGGGTTTCACCGAAGTGGTAAACGTCTGACACCTGCATCACTTCCGGCTTTCCTCCCACATTAAGCTGACACGCCTTGATATAACTGGAATACTGTTAAAAGCGGCGTTAAACCCAACCCACTCACTCACTGTGTCAACGTATACCTCGTGTTTCGTCCTCCATAACTGCAACAGTGTGTTGTGCATCAACACCCACATGACATTCTGCAAGATGAACGTGACGATGAGATGACAGTGAATCTTGTTTCGCAAACATCGCAAACTCCTGCAACGAGAAATAAATAGATTTCAGTACAAATACATTACCTGATAAACATACAAAGGTCAATGTGTGCCACTTGAGATTGGTTAAACAGCTTGCCATGAACAGTATATTAATGATATCACGGTGTCTGAACTCCGTATTGGAAGATCGCCCGACGAAATGTTGCTTGTTGTTTTACGCCGCACTCGGCATTATTCCAGCTATATGGCTGCAGTTTGTTAATTAACAGTCTGGACAAGACAATCCAGTGTTTGTCATCATGACTTACGTAAAGGTAATACATGACAAGCAACAACTGATCTGTTTGTCGTCTCTAACGACAAGGATAGTAGACTCTAACCACAAGAATGGGATGCTGGAGACCTAATTTGCCGAAACCCACGAGTCCAGGTAGGACCATATTCAGGTAATTGGACCAACTATGGGATTCGAACCTACGATTTGCGGATCCTGGCATGTTTAGGGGACGTAACTATTAACAGCGAATTGATAGTGATTTTGTCGCTTTTGTGATGCAGACCATCCACTTAACTGAAACCAACAAGCAAGATTCCAACCCACGATCACAAGATCATGTCACGCCCAAGGGACGCAACTCTGCATACCTTATTCCGGCTACCAATAAACAACATACCGAAATCTACATGGCACTCGAACAGCTGATCTACACATGTCCCTTGTCGACGTCAGTAGTGCTGTGTTAACAATGCAGTCACAGATTGACAGACTCACGGCCTCCTACACCTTCATTACTCTGATGAGAGGGGCAATTACTCTAGGATATCTACGGTAACACGGTTTAACGTGTGCAGTGTAACTCCGTTAATCCAGATGGGGGCGACCACTCTGGAATCGTTCGAACATCCCACAGACTTCTTTTTTATTCACTTACACAAAATATGTGGACAACCATACAGTGACATCGCAATGCAACTGAGTGGGTTCGAATCCCGGTTCGCCTCAGTTATGTTTCTAGGTTTGTCAGAACCATACCCGTGCTCGTGGGTTTCGCCGTGGTAAACGTCTGAAACCTGCATCACTTCGGGATTTCGACATTAAGCTGACATGCCGTGATATAACTGGAATACTGTTAATAGCGGCGCTTAACCAAACCTCACTCACTCACTCACTCACTCACTCACTCACGCAATGCAACCGAACCCCAGCCCAGTAAAAATAGTATATTTGCGTGGTTAACCAACCAAAGGTATTTATAACCACCTGCATTTAATCAGTTGCTATGTTGATCCATGTTAAATATTAAAAGTTTCATTCTTATTGTGCTATATTATTCTAGTATGTTTCGGCATAATGCAATATTCATAGATGACACATCAAACAGACACAGATGCGTGATTTATTAATATATTATATTAATGTAATACGGGCCGGTGGCCTGTTACTGAACAAATTGTCTGTCTTTCTGTCTGCGTGCGTGCGTGCGTGCGTGCGTGCGTGCGTGTGTGTGTGTGTGTGTGTGTGTGTGTCTCTGTCTGTCTGTCTGTCTGTCTGTCATATTAAATGCAAGTCTAAAGATTAGCAAGGTCACAAGTTATATGTAAATAGATATAAACTGGGCGGCAAAATAAAGTATAGGTCGAGTTCCATGATCGATAAAAAATAACAAGAAGAGGTTTTGTTGTGAATTATAATATAATCTAGGGAGGGGTAATCAATGATTGATCAACCACAGTTTGAATGAAATTGTGCTATCACAGGTAATGTAAGCTCAAGGTAAACAATGGTGTGGTAAGAAATTTCATTTTCATAAGTTGTCTGAAATGTCACCACAAAATTGTCAGACACACCACTAGTTCATTGTCGACACAGTTGCCTTCAGTAGCGTGTATGACCTCCCGCTGCCTCAATGCATGCTGTGATACGCCGCCCCATCGATGACGTCAGTCTTCTGATGACGTGGAGTGGAATCCGTTGCCACTCGTCTCTCAGGGCCTGCTGCAATTCTTGCCTGTTGACGGGAGGCTGATGGCGTGCTCTAATCTGTCTGTCAAGATGGTCCCACAGATGTTCAATAGGATTCATATCGGATGAGTGGGCAGGCCAGGCCAAAACGTCAACGTTCTGCTGGTTGAGAAAGTTCCGAGTCAGTCTTGCAGTATGGGGCCTGGCATTGTCGTGTTGAAACAATGTCCCCTGCTGTTGGTTTTGTAAGAACGGAAGCACAACTGGCTGCAACACTTGGTCTCTGTACTGCACAGCGCTCAGATTTCCCTGTATAATCACCAATTCAGTCTTCTGATCTCCACAAATACCGCCCCACACCATGACATCTCCCCCGCCGATTGATTGACCTCTCGAACACACGCCGGAGCCAGACGCTCCCCTCTGCGTCGATAAACTCGTTCTCTGCCATCATTTCGAAACCGACTTTCATCAGTAAACAGCACTCGACGCCAATTTCTGACTTGCCAGCGTCGAACCTGCCACGCCCATCGCAGTCGCAGGCGTCGATGTTGAGCAGTCCATACCATTCCTCGGAAAGGACGATACGCTCGTATTCCAGCAGCACGAAGTCGTCGTAGTACTGTACGTTGGCTAATGGGATGTCCCAACGCTGTTGCTGCCGTCGCTGTCGCCATTACGAATCTGTTTCGCAGGTGAATGAGCCGTATCCGACCATCTTCCAGTGGTGTTGTCACTCGGGGTCGTCCGGTTCTAGGCCTGTCCTGTGTCCTCCCTGTCTGCCCATGCCGTTGAATCAGCCTGGCTACTGTCAGTGGTGTACAACCAAACCTTCTGGCAATTTGGACCTGTGTTGCCCCCATTTCGGCCATACCGATGGCTCTCTCTCTCTGCTCCTGTGATAGTCGTGGCATTCCTTTTGTGTGCTTTCATCACGTGTGGTTATACCATGCAGACGAACGCATTTATACAGCTAACATGCACGTACAGCTTATGCCATTGGCGGGAAACCTGTTTCACCACTTTTTTGTCACCGCACGAGCGCGTTCGGGTGAGGTGTTTTTTGGTACCTGTTCCTGGGCAGTCATATACCCAATACCCACTTTCCACTAGTTGTCGCTGTTTTTAGGAAAATTACAAATTGCCAACCTATACTTCCTTTTGCCGCTTAGTTTATTTTACAAGACTAATTGGGATGACTTACCTGAAGTACAGAAATATGACAAGAGCTACTACCAAGGCCACTGTCGTTACGGTGAATCCAACATTATAGATGACACGGACGCCAAGTTTGTCCGGCGTCAGGCCCTGGAATGAGAATGTTCATGTTATTCTTCAAGGCCACCGTCGTATGACGGAGAACTGATGCATGGCGTTAAGTAACAAATAAACATTTACTTTCTTACGCAAAAGTGCCGGGTACTACCGACAGGAAATGGTCACCGTTTTCGCCCTGATGTCATCACTGATTTTCAGTGATCAATTCATAATTTTCACCGTGGGTTTGCCTTTCACGTTTTGAATATGTTTGACAGATAACCGAGACTAATAATTCTCTGACGTGGACGTTTTTCTGTTTATAAAATATTTCTTCGGGGGACACCAGAAGTCGGGTTCAAACTATGTATCCATATAAAAGAATCGAACCCGGACTTTCGGCGTGACGCGTAAACACTTGAACCACATGGCTACCTCACCGGCCCTACTGGTAATAAATTTGCTTATTGGTGTCCCAGGAATTCTATAATCTCTCAACTTGAGCTTATTGTCAAACTTAAATTGGATTGGGTGAGAAAATATGGCCATTGAGAGTGGATAATACCCAGACGGAAGACCCTTTTATTACAAACTCACAGATGTAGAATGAAAGCTTTCAATATCGACCATATATATAATGTCAGTGACAATATACCGCCAATGGATCAGACACGCCAGTGACAAACAACAGGAGACTCGGTGGAGCTGAAATCAAAGGTAACAGCTGGACGTTTATATCATCCATCACTGACTGTGCAAGTATCGTTTGTGCTCAATTGACCGCCTACGTGGACAGAGAGTCTTCCTCGGAGAGCGGAAGGTCGTTGGTCCAATCCCAGGCCGCGTCTTACCAAAAGAGGTCGAAATTGGTACTTGTTATTACCCTGTCTGTTTCTCAAGGCTGTGTTCATAATATCACGGGTTTCTCTGGTTTTCTCTGACTCTCATTCATTATTTATCATCAGTATATAACGGATATCTAACTTACATGTACATGAATTGTTTTTGTTTTAATTTGGTTTAGCGCCGCACTCTGCACTATTCCAGCAAATTGACGACCGACTGTAAATAATCTATAAAATCTGTGAGCAACAATCCTCGCCGTTGGGGTACGTATACAATAACACACAATCGATCACGACACCGAGCCTCACATCCGATCGCTTCTCGCGCAAGCAGAAAGGTTGCTGGGGGCGCATTTTCACCCGGAATCCCCGAGAATTGTTTTTATTATGACTTAATTAATCCTCTAGTCAGGTTGATCCGGAAATATAAAAAAAAAAAAATTAATAGACTTCACGCTACTTTAAACAGTGTTTGAGTTACACCACAGCGTGTCTATTGGAGTAAAGTCCAAGGTTATTCTGGCGATGGACGTGACCCATGAAACTCATGTAAGCCTGGTATGGTGTTGAAACTCCAAGGAGCATACTAGTAATTAGGGTAAATACGGTATTCGATCCCCGTGCACGGCTAATTTTCCACAGCGAATTGCGTGGGGGTCTTCATCCTGCCCTGGGTGAACATGGAGGCTCAGTTGTCATAGGAATAGGAATGGGGTATTAAATAGACCCTGTCGTGTTGGAAAGTCACCACGTGTTTTGATTTGCCTTTGCATGTGTTTGTGACGGGTGCCACCGGTGGTGCAGGATACGGTCACATTTTCGCGAGCACCTGGTATCATTAACATTTGATAGTGATTTATAAACACATGCGTATGATGTAGTCGGAATCGTACAAACGATGTCTACAGAATATGGACAGGGTTCTGCCGCCTTTATTTATTGATGAAAATTATGAGGGCGTAAATGAGGAACATTCCAAACCTTTGCAATCATTGACGTGAGCAGTTAAAATCGTTAAGGAATTTTTCAATAATTTAAACTTCAAAAGTCAAGCACAAGTAAAGCTATTTATAAATTTAATGAGAGTCAATTTATTCGTTGAATTTCAAATGTCTTCGCTTAACGTACATTAGTTTACATCTTTTATGAAAAATCCGCAAGATAACGTTAATGGTGGCGTGAGAATCGACACACGTCACACACGATTTGAAGTAGACGTCACCTGTTCTTTTCATAAGTTTTGTCTGCAGGAACATAGTGTGGGTGAACTAAGATTTGGTTGGTTGGTTGGTTGGTTGGTTGGTCGCCGCACTCGGCAATATTCCAGCTATATGACGGCGGTCTGTAAATAATCGAGTCTGGACCAGACAATCCAGTGATTGATATCATAAGCATCGATCCACGCAATTGGGATCGATGACATGCATCAACCAAGTCAGAGAGCCTGACCACCCGATCCCTTTAGTCGCCTTTTACGACAAGCATAGTCGCCCTTTACGGCAAGCATTGGTTGCTGAAGATCTATTCTACCCCGGATCTTCACGGGTCTTGGTTAACTAAGAATGACTTAAGTTTCACGTCGCATCGGCATAGTTAGAGAAGAAGTTGTGTTACTGAAACATGGTGCGTAAATATGTTGGTTTTTGTTGTTGTTGATTGACGCTACAATATTCAAGCTAAATGATGGGGTTTGTAAACAATCTAGTCTGGACCACCAAGTGATTGACATCATGAGCATCGACATTCGCGAGCCAATTCAACGAGCCTTACCACCCGACCCCGTTAATCGACTCTCATAACAAGCAGTGTTGTTGAAGACTAATTCTCACCCGGATCTTCAAGGATATAACGTTGTGTGTTTTTAAAGCGCATGATCAAACATGTTTTACAGTGTAATAAACAGCCCCAATCATATTTCTGTTATGAATTTATGATAAAATCTTCAGTTGAAGTTATAAGGTACTGTAACGAGTCCTGTGATCACTGTTATGTAGTAGTCTATCTGCAACAAGTTTCCCTGTCCTTTCATTAAACTGAACTGTACTTCAATATTATATTTTACTTTCTATCTATTGTGTTGTGTCCTCCGTCTTTCCGTTGGGTTAACCGAGAGGTAAAATGATTGGCTCGTTACGCCTAAGGCCCGGGTTAGAGCTTCATGCTATCAGTCATTGGTTTATCTGGTCCGGCGGCGGTTGATTGTAACACATACAGTTACTACAGTAACAACTCATTCACTAGAGTGAGTGAGTGAGTATGGGTTAACGCCGCTTTTAGCAATATTCCAGCAATATCACGGCGGAGGACACCAGAAATGGGCTTCACACATTGTACCCATGTCGGGAATCGAACCCGGGTCTTCGGCGTGACGAGCGAACGCTTTAACCACTAGGCGACCCGACCGCCCCTCATTCACTAAAACATACAGAACATGTCGATGTTGATAGCAATCGATTTTGGGAGTTTGTTACAATGGTGGTCTTCAATCCGGATTCTATCCATTCAGTAGCCATTTTGACCATCCAATCCCTTTTAAGCTTGGTGTACACTTAGCACTAGATGCGAAATTGCATAACTCTCGGGACACAAATACACAATTTTATTACCAATTGAGACCGTGTGATGGTCTCAGAGTTCAAGCGTTCGCTCGTCACGCCGAAGGCCCGGGTTTGATTCCCAATACAATATTCTAAGTTCCTAACTGGTCTCCACCGTACAACATGGTTTTGCTGGACTATTGCTAAAAACGGCTTAAAACTCTACTCACCAATCCTTGCATCGCTCGGTCTAATTTATTTACCTTTTATTCTGGTTACAACAAGCAAGCTATATTTCTGTCTGATTGGGTTCATTGGGAAAAAAATGTATACTTATTCTTAGCTTCATCTCCAGGGCTGGCAGACGTACGGATATACTTACATCAACATGGCGGTGTTCTTCATACACCGACAAACAGTCGTTGTAATTTGATTTGTTCGCCCAGATCCCACCTACGTCACACAGCCGTGAGGCGTTTTCTGAAATAGAAGGTTTTGTAAAAGATTAATGAAGTACACTTGTAAAGTTCAACGCAAGCAATAAAAAATGTAATTGTTTTTGTTCCGATTTAGTAAAAAAATATCCTTGAGGTGATTTTTTTTTCTCACAGATGATTCCAGTTACTGACCAGACGCAGTTGTGACCTTTTGACTCTATAGTTTCACAATCGCGTGCATATTGTGTCTCATATCGTTGCTGAATACATGTGGTTGTTATGTTACGCCGCACTCAACAATAGTCCAGGTAATCCAATCCGTAAAGTGATGAGTCATGACTAGACAGTCGAGTGAACAATCAATCCAGGCAGTAAGGATAGGGTGACATACATCAACGAAGTCACTGAGCCTAAATACCAAAGTTGCCTCTTACGACATACAGCATAGGTTGCTGTGGACAAGTTCCAACCTGTAATCTAGACAGGATGGTGGGTGTAGGGGTTTGGGGAGCATGAATCAACATGTCAAATATGGACTAAGGGTTGTTTGGCGTGCATATGAGCTACGAATGGGTGTGTTGTTGTGTAATGTGTGTCTGGTGCTGTGGGTTGTTTAATGCGTGTTATGACCGGTGTCACCAGTGGACTGGGATGCTCATCTCTACGCGAACACCTGGCATCAACGGTCACATTAACATTTGATAGTGATTCATAAACACATACTTATCATATAATTAGAATCTTACAATGGACTCTTTTGGCAATCAGTAATAGGCTATCGTTTTTCTAGTCCATCACGTGATTGTCTGGTTGTTTACACGTCAGGAGTATTGCTCTGCGGTGTCAACAAACACATATTTTTTTATGCAAATTGTATGAGTGGCAGCATTTACCGATAAGGCAGGACCATCTTCCCGAGGCAAGCGTGTCCACTAGCCAATATGAAAGGGTGGCTTCTACAAGACTTTGATGAAAAGGCCAGTGGACGCTCTTGCCTCGGGAAGATGGGGCAGGACGTCTGTACCCTTTTCGCAAATACCTGTACAATTAAGGTTGTATACACATCATTCCCTATTCAAAACCAATACAAATACCACCCAGCATTTTGTGTCTCCCTTTCACCAGGATGAAATGTCTGGTTCACATTACAGAGGAACAGCGACCGCCTTGTGGTCTAGTGCTAAAGCGTCCGCCGGGAGAGCGAAGGTCCAGGGTTCGATCCCCAGCCGCGTCATACCAAAAGACGTTAAAGATTGGTACTTGTTGTTACCCTGTCTGGCGGTCGGCATTAAGGGGCTAAAACGAGTACTGGTCAGCTCGGAGTCAGAATACTTTGTATGAGTGGGTATTCATGTTAAACTGCAGCATGGTATCTCAGTGAGCTAGCTCTATAAATTGGCATTAGTCCGGACAAATACAAACACACACACACACACACACACACACACACACACACACACACACACACACACACACACACACACACACACACACACACACACACACACGCCACTCGCCGCTATTTAAGCGCAATAGTCGTGGACGCGACTTTAAATCTAATTTCACCTTCACCTCCATGACATTTTGAGCAACGCAAAATATTACACGTCTTCGTAACGGCATTCGGCATCCTATAATTCTTTTGATTGGTTTGGTTTTCAAGGCTCCTAGCAGGGGACACCGTCACACGTTGTTGTGATCATATGTTGGGAGGAGACAGGGACACGTGCTGTACGTAGTAACACGTAACAAGCATATTCATCGTGTAGAGTGGAGAATGTTTCGCTTGCTTGAGTTTTACATCCTTCTTTCTTCATCACCGGTCTAATGTAACATCTGTACGGTGGCCCATACCCGCCACTGGTGAGATCATTTTTCACTGTATGCCTCTATATTTTATCTGGCGGCCGCCAGAAACTTCCACTGATGAGATCATTTTTCACTGTAAAACCTCTATATTTGATCTCACCAGTGGAAGTTTCTGGCGGCCGCCAGATAAAATATAGAGGCATACAGTGAAAAATGATCTCACCAGTGGAAGTATCTGGCGGCCGCTAAATAAAATATAGAGGCATTCAGTGAAAAATGATCTCACCAGTGGAAGTATCTGGCGGCCGCTAAATAAAATATAGAGGCATACAGTGAAAAATGATCTCACCAGTGGAAGTTTCTGGCGGCCGCCAGATAAAATATAGAGGCATTCAGTGAAAAATGATCTCACCAGTGGAAGTATCTGGCGGCCGCCAGATAAAATATAGAGGCATACAGTGAAAAATGATCTCACCAGTGGCGGGTATGGGCCACCGTACATCTGCCTATGTACTGACGTGACCCGTGAAGATCCGGGTTAGAATAGGTCTTCAGCAACCCATGCTTGCCGCAAAAGGCGACTATGCTTGCCGTAATTGGTGACTAACGGGATCGGGTGATCCTATTCAACCAATTTGTTCAGCAAATGTTGTGATAGGATCAGCCTTAACATATACACAACATTATATGATTAATATGTCCCCGGGAAACAGACCCCAAACAGATAATTAATATGACTATGCAAATATGGGAAAACAAACAACGATTACCGATCGATACACCACGAGAGTTTTTAGGAGCAATCAAATCATTCACATATCATATTCTAGGAGCAGCTAATTTCTAATCATGATTTAACTCTGTATATTTCTGAAGGCATTCCTTAATGCCCGTTTAATCTTGATTGATACTAAGTAATAGTTAGGAATAAATGAAACCACGAGACGAGAATTCCGTTATTGCCTACCTCAGGTTAATGATTAGTTCTTTGATAAAGGAAATAACATAAAATTAATTATATTTTCTCATTACACACCCTTTTATAGAAATGCTAAACCGTGTTTGTTTGTTTGTCTTTAACCGTGGTTAATATGGTGCTTCTTTAACAATTGTTGTTGGCCTACTACAGTG